GAAAATGAGTAAATGTCAATTTCGCTTGTTATAATGTCTTAAAAGTTACTCTATCATGGGCATAACAATATGATTATTTCTTCAATTTCTTAATCTTCTATTAATTGCTAAAGTGTAAATGTATATAATAATTTTCTTTTTCTTTTCTTCGTATCGAAGTTAAAATTCTCGCACCCTCATCCAATAATTTTAGATATTTTAATCAACAAGAGTTTATATATTATATATAAATATATACACACGTGATATTTTATTATTATTAGTATTAGTATTATGTTGATGTAGAATTAATTAAATAACAAAAGTTAGTCTCTAAAGTCTAAACACCTTATTTAATGTCATCACTATCTTTCTTCAAACCTTTATAATTTTTACCAATAACTGTGTGTGTATATACTTCTTATCATAAATAAATATTATTTTTTGACGCACGTTATTTCTCAAGGAATATAAATATTGTTTTGGTATATGTTCATGTTCAGAAAGTGTTTCTACTAATAAAAGTAAAAGCAAATAATCTAAGCTATATAAAAAAAAACATTAAAGTCATTTATTATTAAAATATTGTTCATATGCATTAATTCAAAACACTCTCCAACATACTTTGTGTCTGGTTCATGAATCAGGAATTATGGCAAATGCTCGAGACAATAATTCAAAAAGTAGCTCTTTTTAAAAATAATAATAATAATAATTATTATTATTATTATATATATATATGTGTTATATATATATTATTATGTGCAAAGCGAATATTAGTGCATATATATTGTTGTCTATATGCATTAAGGTATAGTTTTGATGGTTTCTAAATATTTCTACAATTGTATGGTACTAAAACTTGCATGATTTTATTTTAAATTACACTCAAAATATTTAATACTAACAAAGACGTTGCCGTTACTTATATATCATGAATTTTTCTAAATTCTAGATAAACGTGAGACATTATTTGCATTCTCAAGATTGATATGAAATGTGAACATGATCTCCCATCAATTTGAAGTAGGAAAGATCCACAATAGCAAGAAAAATATTTTCATCAATATGAATCCTTTTGGTAAAATTAAAAGGCAAACTCATACATACTTTGGGCCTAAAATGGAAAGCTAACTAGTTGGGCCTGTGATTGATATTAATGGGCCCAGAACTTCCAAAGACAGACTATCAGAAAATATGTTGTTTTTGTTTTTTGGTTTTTTTTGAGTGAAGAAAAAAAAGAAGAAAACCTATGAATATGTTGTTGATAACCGTTTGGAGATGCCACGTCACTTATTTCTTTTGGCACATCACATTTCGACAACCATAATTAATGCAACCCGCCATTTCTCCTCTATCTTTGTCGTATATATTTCCACCAATATTAATATTCTTTTAAATACAACTCAAACTTCTACTTCTTCTTGCGTCCCTTTTTAGTCCTTTTAAGACAAATATTTGGGTATTTATAGGATAGTTATCTCTCAATTAATTTTTGATAAATAGGAGAGAGAAATATATAAAACAATTATTTTTTTAAAATAAGAAGATGGACGTTGACTAATAAACATATATTTATGTTATTTTGTAATAACCGATTTGGGGAAATTGATATGGTTTGCGGTGAATATGGGACATGAAATTTGAGGTGCCACGTGGCATACCAGCAACCTTAGTTGTGTGGTCGTTAACAATTTGAAAGGCTATCCACTGGCGACATCGATTTTTGAACACTCGAAAGTTCCAAATGTGGTGTCCCCCTTCATAAGCTACAACTTCATACTTGAAACTGTGCACACTCCAAACTTTACTCCTTCCACTCAATTGCCTTATTTTCTCTCCGACCTCTGAAACCCATGGCCACCGCTATCTCCACCGCCGGAGCCGTCAACAGGATTCCGGTAATTCAAATCTTTCCCGCCATTACAACAATATTCCACTCGAACCTTGATAGTTTTCTTTCTTTCTTTCTTTCTTTCTTCTCTGTTGTTCAATTAGAATTGTTGGTCTTCTGGGTTTGTAGAGATCATGGGAAAAATTTAAACTTTTTACCTTCTCCTCAACTCATGTTCAACTGTTTGTTACCAACGATATAAACGGTGTTTACTGACAAATCGTTCTAATGCTTGGTTTCACACTTTTGAAAGTGATTTTGGTCATGTCTTTAGAGTTAGAGTTTGTGAATTTATGGTCACAAGATGTGGAATTAGAGAGGTGAAGAATGGTAAATTGGGTGAATGAAAGCGTGGGGGATTGTTTATTGCAGGTGAGTTTAAATGGCGCCATGTCTGGAGCTTCAGTTCAGAGCTCTGCATTCTTCGGCAGCAGCTTGAAGAAAGTGAACTCAAAATCATACCCCAATTCAAAGATCTCCTCAGGAAGCAGCTTTAAGGTAGTTGCTGTGGCAGAGGAAATTGATGAAAAGAAGCAAACTGAAAAGGATAGATGGAAGGGTCTTGCTTTTGATGTCTCTGATGATCAGCAAGACATCACCAGAGGAAAGGGAATGGTGGATTCACTCTTCCAAGCCCCCACAGGAGCAGGAACTCATGACCCTGTTCTGAGTTCTTATGAATATTTAAGCGCAGGACTTCGTCAGTAAGTCTAAACAAAACAAAGTTCAGATTTTTCTTTTCTTTTTCTTTTCGGTCTCTGGTTTTCATTGTAGTAATTAAGGAAGGAACTGATGGTCTAGAATGTTGTGGTTTTGATGATGATATAGGTACAATTTAGACAACAGCGTGGATGGCTTTTACATTGCTCCTGCCTTCATGGACAAACTAGTTGTTCACATCACTAAGAACTTCATGAAACTTCCCAACATCAAGGTTCGACAGAAAACTGATTTACTGTTTATTAGCTTCATGCTGGATTTGGCTAGAGTTTTCTTTAGCTTATTGATTGATCTAATCCTTCTGCCTTAGGTTCCTCTTATTTTGGGTGTTTGGGGAGGCAAAGGTCAAGGAAAATCTTTCCAATGTGAACTTGTCTTTGCCAAGATGGGAATCAAGTGAGTTTCATCCTTCTCCATCCTGTTTTTTTCAGCCATTTCAGATCATTTTCTTGATTGTGATGTGGTGCTTTCAGTGTTCTACACATTTGTATTTCTTCACCCTGCTGCTAACGCTCTGTTTCATTACTTCAGCCCCATTATGATGAGTGCCGGAGAATTGGAGAGTGGAAATGCTGGAGAACCTGCAAAATTGATTCGACAGAGGTACCGTGAAGCGGCAGACATTATCAAGAAGGGAAAGATGTGCGTTCTCTTCATCAACGATCTTGATGCCGGAGCTGGTCGTCTCGGTGGAACCACCCAATACACTGTGAACAACCAGATGGTTAACGCTACCCTCATGAACATAGCTGATAACCCTACTAATGTCCAGCTCCCTGGTATGTACAACAAAGAGGACAATCCTCGTGTTCCCATTGTTGTCACGGGTAACGACTTCTCGACATTGTATGCTCCTCTCATCCGTGATGGTCGTATGGAAAAATTCTACTGGGCACCCACACGAGATGATCGAATTGGTGTCTGCTCAGGAATCTTTAGCACTGACAATGTATCAAAAGAAGACATAATCAAAATTGTTGATACATTCCCTGGCCAATCCATTGGTAAGCGTCAAAGTGTAAACTACGAATCAAATACATAAATATTTTGGTTCATTTCCCTTCTATGTTCCAACCTGATAAACTAAATCATGATCATACAGATTTCTTTGGTGCCCTGAGGGCAAGAATATACGATGATGAAGTGAGGAAGTGGGTTGTTTCCGTTGGAGTTGATAATATCGGGAAGAAGCTCGTCAACTCAAAGGATCCACCGCCGAAATTCGAGCAGCCAAAGATAACATTGAAGAAGCTCCTCGAGTATGGAAACATGCTTGTTGAGGAGCAAGAGAACGTGAAGAGAGTCCAGTTGGCTGACAAGTACTTGAGCGATGCTGCTCTTGGTGATGCCAATGAAGATGCTATAAAAAGTGGAGCATTCTACGGTTAGATCTCTCTCTTGATTCTTTTATAGACCTTTAAGAATTGCACAAAAGCAGATTCTCCTAAGCTGTTGCTTCTGTTTGTTGCAGGGAAAGCCGCCCAGCAGGTGCATATTCCTGTCCCTGAAGGTTGCACAGACCCAAATGCATCAAACTTTGACCCAACTGCTAGGAGTGATGATGGAAGCTGCAGTTATCAGTTATAAGCCTTCCGCCAATAGCTGTTCGAGTGGAAAAAGATCACCTTCTACTCATGCTATACAAGGAGAATACTGTCACTGACTCACCTGTTTGAATCAAAATAGCCACTGGTTTGCTTTACTGTATGCTTCAGAGTTTGTGGGGGGTTTCAGTTCTCATTTCTTTTTCCCTTTTTTCCCTTGTGTTGCCACGACATTGAGATATCTTTTGTGAGTGTCCATAAAGGACGTAACCTGGCGTCTCATAGATTTTTGTGATATTGAGATATTTTCTTCAGTCTTGATTATACCATACATCCACAAAATGAATGCAGAATCATTAAGGATTGAGAACCTTGAAGACAAACAGATTTCCTTGAACGCAGCATCATATAATATCGTTAGAGATGCATTATGCATGAAACTGATTCGATCAGAGCAACAAAAACGCAGCAGCTTCACTTAAATTTATTTCATCAATAGAATAGACCAGGAATGTGACAGAAGGCAAGACAAAATCGCAACTTTAACGAGTATCTTGCAATCAAGAGCGATGGGAAAGAATTTCACAATGAGTGTTTGCTATAACAGTTTCATTCATAAAGTTTATGGATGGCGATTTCGAAGGGATGCATAGAATTTTCAGCATGGAAAGCTCAACAGAAATATCATTCATTTAACTGAAAGGTCTCTCCATCATTTGCATACACAGCTTCAATTTGAATAATCTAAATCACAAGTTACATAAAAGCCTTGTAATCTACAAAACTACCTGCTTAGCTATAAGATACAGTGACCTAGTGACCTACTATACTACGAGGCATACAACATTCAATCTGGCTCTAGAAGAGCTCGACTAAATCATACCATCTCGCCATTCCTTCCTGCACGATAGACAAAAGTTAAATATCCACCAACGGAAATGGTGTTATCTTGAAGCCATTATTGGCTAGGTACTATGAAGTATTATCATCTTCACTCTCCTTTTGTCTCCTAAAAACCTCCAAGTCATCGAACCCTGCACATCCGAGAGATCCTTTCAGTAAGGATTGTGGTTTTATGATAAGTAATAAAGCCATAATAAATTAGTCACCTGCAAGCAAGCTATCATAGTCTTCATTCAGGGGTAAAGGCATATTGGAATCAGAGGGAGGATTATCAAGTACTGTCCATTCCAGATTTCCACAGTCCTCTGCGCATAAATCCTTTCTCCAAATCCAGTCGTCAAGAATACCGAGCCCATCAAAGGAAAGGGGGTCAACTGGACACTGTTCATTGGCTTTAGCGACCCTGCCATAAAATTAAGTGGAGAACACTTCAGCAACATCCCTAACTTTCAAACATGAGACTCGTGTAATAAATGTTCATTTGACTTACATTTGTTCAAGTTGCAAGTTGAAGCGCACAAATACAAGATCACTAAGGCGTTGATGTTCAATGTGATTCCTTGTCTCATGTAATTTATCAAAAAGGATTTGATTTTTCTTAAACCCCTCCGCGGAGCAGGTTTGACTAAGAATTCTAATGGCCAAGCGAGCTAAATTTGGGCAGCCTGCTCCATATGTTGACCACCACTCAGCTGCAAGAAACATAAACAAACAAAAAGATCAACCAAAAAATCAGTCAACTAGGGGGCCAATAAGAAGATAACCATGCAAATAAAGAGTAGCTTTTGATATGTATGGAAGATAATAAAGGAGCAAACGTGCTACAAATCATAAGTATAGTTTCTACAGTCCTAGATTCCTACAGGTATAGGACATGAAAGCCTATGCAGAATTATGATTTTTTTTCTTTTTCTTTTTCTTTTTTTTTTTTACAACAAATGTGCGGATCGGGGATTAAACCTCTAATTTATAGGAAAGAAGTAAGATGTTTTAACCACTTAGCTATGCTCATATTCACCGGAATTATGAAATTTAATGGTTAGTATGATCCGAAACATTGCCTAAAATCATTATTCAAGATCATTATGCTACAATAGCATGCAAGTTATATAAACAGTCTTAGAATGTGTAATCAGCCGTATATCTGCTGTTGCCTTGTTCTAGGTTACAAGCATATTTCAGAAAGCAAGTCAGTACACCAGCAAGCTGGTAAAGTGCTAGGATGCATAATGGAAACCGAGAAATAGCAATAGAATAGGTCCTCACCTGGAAGCAGTGTCTCTCTTGCTCTTATAGCCATCTTTCTTCCCAAATCTCCAACAGCGTTCTTGTACAAGTTTATTTCTTTTATTATTTTGTCTTGAATTTTTGTATCAGAAACCAGTCTTTCTATGCAATCAAACATTCCCGATAGGATCTCACTATGCATATCTCCTTCAACGCTATAAAAGAACTTGGGGTTCAGGTAGAATCCAGCAGCATGAAGAGGATGATTCCAATGTTGCTCCCATCTCTGATCTATAATGTTCCAGTAGACCATGTAACGCTCTCTATCAACAAGCTCTGTCTTAATTGCTAGCTTAGCATTATATATTGCTGCATAAACGTATCCCATCGCAGGTCTCTTACCACTACCCACTATTCTCAAAACCCTTAAGAGAGGATTTGTCAAACGAACAATTGAACTGCATGAGGACCAAAATGATTCACTGCTGATTAAATCCAACATTTCTAGTCCCCCTGGCCTCTTTGAATATGGGCTGTCCATCCACTCTTGAGAAGTAACCACAGTCTGCAGACATCGTTTCAGATTGACCATCCGATTCAATGTGGCAAAGTTTGTGGCAGATTTTGTGGCACAAGGTTCTAAGATATCATTGCCATAGGTATACCTTCTCACAATGTTTAAAACCATACTATTGTTATAGACAAACCTTGTAATTGATCTAGCTTGTTCAAGAACGGTATTTACACTCTCAATGTTTCCAAAATCCCCAAGTATCATATCCACACAACTAGCGGCGCATGGGGTCCAATAGAGGGTTGGATATGTATCAGAAAGCTTTTTACCGGCAATAGCATAATTTTCTTCACTCCTAGTAATCACCTGCAGTACATGTTTCACCCCTACTTGTTCAACCACTTTTTTGAGTAATTCATAAAGCATATCTGGGGAATCCATAATTCCAGACGCATCCACAGATTCCAAAAATACTGTTCCCTCAGGGGAATACACCAAGAAAATCAGCATGGTTCGACATGTTTCAGTACGCCACTGATCAACCATGACAGAACAACCGGTCCTTCCCCATGTTGCTTTGAATCTATCGAAATCACTCCTCACTTCTTCCACTGAATTCTTCAATATCCAACCCCGAATATCATGGTACGAGGGTGGAATAATCCCTGTACCTGCTGAAACAATGGATTCTATCATTGGCTGGAAATAGGCTGAGTTTACTGCATCTAGAGATGCCCCAATGTCAAACAAAAATCGCCCAACTGCCATATGCACTTGATTGTTGACCTTATTAGAATCTAATATGCCACCACCATTTGGAATAACAATCATGTCTCTTTCCACACAAGAACTCTTACCTTTGCTACCCCTTTTCCTCCCCAGTTTATTACTCGCTCCTTCCTCATGACTTAATAGCAAACCTGGAGCTTCAACTGGCTCAGAAACTTCAATCAAATGAATACTAGAATCAATTTCCATATGATTGGGAATTGCATCTACCTCACCAGTCATCGCATTCACATTAGTCATCTCTTCATCAAGCTTCTGTCTCTTCCTCTTCTTCATCATAACCCCATCTAAACTCTCTTGCATTATATTCTGAACCTCAGGGGGAACGCTGTGGCAAGTAGAAGCATTACCTTTATGCCCAGCAAGATGTTCTTTTATTCTATGAATCCCACCACCCTTAAAAAGCTTGTGACAGTATAAACATTTGAGCTGCACTCTATCCCCATTCTTAAACATTTGACAGTGCTTCCACGCGGGGTCATGTTTTTGGGGCGTGATTGGAACTGGTTGCAAACCGGAAGTCATTTGAGCAATCTCAACAGACACCTTCCAGAAAAATAAAAACAAAACAAAACAAAATCAACAAAACAGGTCGATTAAAATTTCCGTTTAATAAAAAATTGAAAACTTGATTCTACCCCAAACGAAAATTTTGAATCTCATAGCGGTGCATAAATCATTAGAAGTATCAATGCTACAATAAACCATTAATCGATAGAAGCATGAATAAATCTTCAAAATTAAACAGTACTACAGAGGGATGAGATAGAAGTTGGAACCTTTTACTGGAAGTCCAGACGGGTTCGGCTTGGGGAGAAGAAAGAAACCGAGTTGGGTTTTAGGGTTTGAGTTATGAGGGCATAAAATAAGAGCTCTGGGTTTTCGTATCGTAACTGGATGGGCCGGTTAGGGCAACTACAGCCGGTTAAGTTTACTCGTTTTAGGGCTGGTCAACCGAATTATCCGGTTATTAGCTGTCAGCTTTTCTTCGTCGAACCGGTTTTGTTGAGAAGGCAACCGGAAGGCCCGGTTGCGTTTCTGGAAAACTAGACCGAGCGCCGACCTCAGACGATGTAATATTCGATTTTGGGTGAACAACTCACTGATTCTCCCTCCCTCCCAACGTTAAATAATTAATTTTAATATATCTATTTAATCTCTTTAATAAATCTTAAAAATTTTATATTTTAGCCTATAGATACTTAGCTCAGCGATAATTATCATTTATATTTTAATCAAATATATGTGATAATTACCCTCCGAGCTAAATCATGTACGTGGAATAATTAGAAGACATTTTAAATCGTTTTTCTTGTCACCTATTTGCATCACGAGTTTTAAAATAAATTGAAAAGTACTATTTTTTTCTTTTAGTACAACATGTGGAGGTGGAGTATCGAACTATCGTTGAATTATACTCAGCTTTGGTAAATTGAAAAATACTATTGTGTTAAACTTGACTTTTTCTTTAAGTTTTAGTTCAACCTTGATATGATAAAGAGTTTATTTGTTAAAATATTCGAGAAAGTTCCTAATACTATTTGATGAATCATACTTTTAGTTTCTTTGTCGGTCACATCAAGATCCATTAAAAAGGATTAAGAGATTATCATAAACAAAAAATCACATGGAGAATGAATTTTCTTCTATCCAAAAGTTACGGAGAATGAGCTCAAAACTTTAAAATCTTAATTTATTTTATATAATTTTTTTTAATATAAGACATCTAAGAAGGCGAACTTTCTTTTCTTTGCCTTCGACCTCTTCAAAAGGGGTGAGTTCATATCCGCACAAATGTTAAATTTCTATCAATATATTGATATTTTCATCATATTTCTATGTATATAATGAGTTTAACATCAATATGAGAGACAAATTGATATTTTCATGATATTAAAAAAATCGACAAAATATAAAAATATCAACAAAACAATGCTAATATTTATAGAGGTATCCATCCATCCACATCTACCTTTTATAAATTGTGATCTCATTCAAAGTGAAATTCTCAATTTGTATCTCCATTGAAGGTCCACGTTTAAAACCTTAATCCTTACTCAATATTAAGAAACAAAAGCTTGGATAAATAAATGCTCCACATCATGGATGCACAAATACATAACACTCATGACAAGCTCAATATAAAATCCTTTAATCCACTTCCATTTATCAACAGGTCATAATTAAAAGGAATACTTTCATCTTTCATCATTCGGTGTTAGGCCAAAAGATAAGAATCTTATGCCATAAAGAGAGTATAATGTTGGAGAAATGATTAGTTCCTT